CTCTTCCGACTCGTCAAGGCTGTGATTTCCAGGAGGCTCGTTCTTGTGACTCGACTTTATCCCCGATAGCCCCGTGGCGCCCAGGAGCCCCTCACGCTTGGCGCCGGCCACGCCGTACCCATAACACTAAGAAGGCGCCGCTTATGGCGGTCACCGCACCGCGAAATTCACGTGCCGACGATAGAACGCGAGAGCGACCCTCCGTCCCGTTGCATGCGACTTTACATGATATCCGCCCAAGGGGCAACCTCACCGATAGTCTGATCCTCCGACGATCCTCCTTCTCGGGGCCTCTCGCTCGTCCTTCTCCAAAACCTAGCCGGGCTGGGACGTCTGTTCTTTCGAGCAGCTCGAAGCGGAAGAGGACGAGCAGAATCGCGATCGATGCGCGATCAATTTGCGAGCTTTCCCCCCTACGGGGTTGCGCAGCCGCGTCGCGCGTTGCTGCGACCAATTAGCGGGCTAGCGGTCCTTCACGCGCAAGAACGTGCGTGGCGAGATGCTACGGGGCGCCTTGCGGCCCCGAGAATTTTTCCGGGCGGGCCTCCCTTGCTGGCCGTCCCCGGTCGTCCGCTCCGATGTCGTGGCCGGGTGCATCGCTCTCACGTCAACTCCTGTGGCTCGCCGGATGTTAGGTGCTCGGGATCCTTTTCTGCTCGTCGTGTGTCCCTTGCACCATCTTGGGGCTCGGGCGCCGTTAAATTCTTCGACGGAGGTGGCTTCCTTCCACTGGCCGGAAGCGTCTGTCGGCTCCGCTCCGTTTGTCTCCGGCTCGCGGGATTCTTCCGTGGTTGTCTTCCGGTGGTTTCTTCGCTCGGCGAGGCTCCCACAACAGTTACATGAGGAAGAAATTCGCCGGGGATTAGAAAAATAACTTAACGCTAATACACGGCCCCCTGGAGATTTCGCTCGCTCGCGTGTCTCTGCTCGGGTCAGGCGCGAAGCCGCTCTTTGTGACAGCGAAGGATCGCTGCGAAGCTGCAGCGAAACTGCAACGTCATAATATATATATGTATATATAATACAATATTTAAAAATACACATACACTGTATGAAAATATAAAAATGTTAAAAAACATACATGAAGTGTAAATTATAATGATAGTAATACATAAAAATAATATTAATACATATATACCAACTCTTGAACTCTTGAAGCCCGGCGAAACCGTTAATACACAACGCTATCGCCAACAAATGATTAATTTAAACCACGCATTAATCGAAAGACGACCGGAATGGGCCAGAAGACATGGCAAAGTGATTCTGTTACACGACAATGCGCCGTCTCACACAGCAAAACCAGTATGACAAAACCAGTGAAAGACACATTGAAATTGCTTGGATGGGACATCCTTTCACACCCGCCGTACTCCCCAGACCTGGCGCCATCTGACTATCACCTCTTCGCATCAATGGGGCACGCGCTCGCAGAGCAGCACTTCAGCAATTTCGAGGAAGTTGGAAAATGGCTCGACGAATGATTTGCCGCAAAAGACAAGCAGTTTTACTGACATGGTATTCATAAATTACCTGAAAGATGGGCGAAATGTGTAGAAGCCGATGGCCAATATTTTGAATAAAAAAAAATTAATTTCCCTTGAAAATTACGTGTTTTTTTTTTACCAAAAAACTGGAAAAAACTTATGCATACACCTGGTAAATGTGTAAAATATACATGAAGTACATTAAAATAATATTTAAAAAATGTATGATACATGAAATGTAAATTACAATGATAGTAATACATGATAGCAATATATACTACATATAAAACATATAAAACATGATACATATATATATATATATATATA